TTTGGAAACATTTTCCCACAACTTCAATAAAACTTCAACTTACCTGATATCACGAAGTTCGCAACATAGTGCCTGATGAGGATATGCCGAGAACTATCGCTTCTTGAGGATGGCACCAGTACAGGCAGAGAGGACTAGTGCCAGGGAGTCGAGCGTGGCACTCTGTGAGAGCCCATCGACCACACCGTCAACCAGGGCCAACATTCCCAACTCACCAGGTTTCAAGTACCTCAAATCTTACCATTTTTTGAGTGAAAATTATGTACAAGTATATCTTCTCATGCTAGTATTCGTGAAACTATCATCATTTATAAACAATTGAGCCACTTTTAATCAGAAAAGGATGAGGTAATTAAGCACAGAAGAAAAGTTTTCGAGTTGATTGGTGACATGTAACTCCCAGCTGGAAGCCTCACCTGCATGACGTCACTGGTCAGGCATCGATACCAGACATTTGCCGCTAGATGTGCGCCTTAAGCATTACACCATGCACTCCTTGTAAGGCACAAACGTGGCTTGCATATAGATCAATCTCGTACAAGTAATGCTGATGTTTGATGTTGACCCTCTTCCCCCCCCGTGTCACGACCCACAGTGACGAAGGTGGTGGTGACAGCATATATTAGTCCAAATAGAACGCGGTAATGATCAAGTTAGTTTTCTAATTCTCTTCTTCGTATATGCCTGTATCACTGCCTTATACTCCGTGTATGCGTACGCAAGAATATAAAAAAAAGGTATTCCGTTAGGCGCAACAACTATAGAAGCAGTTCAGGAATTTCATTAATATTTCGATTAAATTAATGTGTCATTTCTTATATTTCTCACTGCATAAAATATTTCTTTTGCGGTTTAAAAAAAAAAAAGATTATTACATGATAAAGACAACGTCAGTTTAGTCATTCGACGAGAACTTTAATCAAATTCATAAACTAATCGACAATTTGTGTATAGTATTTAGAACTTTTGATCTAACAAAATATGTGATTGCAAATTTGCATGTGTATATGGTCTCCCTTGACAATGCTCAGAGAACCACAGTTTTATTGGTTCGTGACTTGATGAGCTTTGCAATTACTTTATGCACTCTCGTGTTCTTGAAGATATCCTCACAGTGTACCCAAAATTTGCCAGTGAAGGCTACTAGCCCTGTATGACTAACCATCCTGCAAGATGGGAACTTTTTAGTATCACTGCTACCTTATTCACTCTTGTGCTCATGATATCCTCATAACGAACCCAGAGTCTGTCAGTGCAGACTACTTATCACATGCCTCTGTATGACTAACCATCCTGTGTGATGGGGATTTTTTTAGCATCACGTAGCTAGCTTTTTGACGCACTGTACTTCCCTTCATATAGTCTAGGGCAGCTGCACAAATGCAGATGTACCTAATGTATTAATAAAAAAAAATATTTTCACTTGATTCGTGACTTGGCTTAAAGTATATATATAGGCCTATAATTGACAAATGTAAAAGATTGAAATACATCTTACTGACATTACAATTATGCCCTCTAATGTTAACAACATATTTTATGCACATGCGAGGATCGTAGCATTTCGGCCTCTCGCCTATTCATCTACCCCCGAGCCTCTGTTTTATTGAGGTGGCCGGAAAAGGAGGAAGGGCCTGTGAAAAATGTGGATGGGAGCCTAGGCAGCTTCGTTCACTTCATGATCCATTCTGTGAGCGGAAGTGCACGCCATGTCTATTCTGTGAACGGTATTGCAAGTCACCTTTTCTGCAAATTATTAATTCTCTTATTTCTCTCCTATCAAACCTGAATATTTGGAGCAATAATATAGACCTAGTTCAATTTCACCTTTGTTACATTTTAATGTATCTAAAGCCATTATTCTGTGCAGCGAGCTGGTTATTTAAGATTACTTTTTTAAGGTTCTTGCTGTCTGTATTGTAGGAGAGTTTATTAAGTACTTGACGAACAGATTTTGAATCACAATTAATTACTCCTTTTTTCTGAAGTTAACCAGTTGTAGTGCAGCTAGTTCTGTTATTGTATTTGTATCTAGCTGTAGTTTAGCTAGTTCTATTGGTGTAGGATTTAGCCACTTGTTAAAATTGACAATGATAGTCTGTGTGCAAGTATGTGTTCTATAAAACCTATCTTCTGTTAAAGTGCAACTTGTTGACGATTGAACTGAACCATATTGATGTAGACATAAGGTTTTTGAAAACTATTCTCAATAGTTTAATAGAGAAAACTATTCTCTCAAGTTTAGCTTCTTTTAGAGGATGCTCATTAATCATTAATGATGTAGACATTAAGTAGTGTCTACTTAATGATGTAGACATTAAGTAGTCTAATGTAGCTCATTAATGATGTAGACATAAGGTTTTTGATAGAGAAAACAATTGTTTTAAGTTTAGCTTCTTTTAGAAGATGCTCATTAATCTTTATTAGTGATGAGTGTTTACGATATTTGGATGGTAGGGGACAGATAAACTGGGACATCAGTGACAGGTAGATTTCATTATTATTTAAAAGGCATGTTCAATTTGATGAACATGCACCAATCCCTGTTATAATGAAGGCATAAAATAATCTGTCTCTGAGCAATGCTAGAGATGTCGGGTCTCTCATGACAATTGCAAAAGTTCGTGTTAACTTGCATGATTCTAGTATGGTTAGGAGCTTCAGTTCTTCCCTCATGTTAACGATTCTAATGCATCTTGGGGCGCCAAGTATCATCCTCATGGATTCATTCTGCATTACTTCTAGTTTGTTCAAAATAAAGGTGATAGGCATGATAATCAACTTGGGGATCTAGTAAACAACATGTAAAATAGTATAACATATTTAACATTGATACCAATGTTCTTTCCTGCAAGTGATTTCTGTGGTTTCAGTCTTTGTTTAATCTATGATGAAGGTCGTTTACAGAGTCACTGTTGATACCTACTCCAAGGTATTTATGCTGCTCGCGGGTTTCAATGTTTTAGCTGTTGATTTTGGATGAAAGAGGGACTTTAATTTGTTCTTTTATGGCAATGAAGAACTTTGGATTTTGTTATTTAGAGAATAATTCATTAATACAAAGGTTGCAATTAACGTTTTCAACAGCAAGGAATCAATTAGAGCTTGCAGTCGAGTTTGGATACTTGCAACAATACAAATGTCATCAGAAGAGCAGGCATGATTATGTTTTGCTTTAGTTTTGGGCTTAATGCCTATGTTCAGCTGGAGGGCTATAAGGCCTCAACAATAACTAGCAGAAATACTTGAGTCTATCTGAATTTACCTGAGCGTCACTAACACTAGAGGACAGGAAGCCGGCGGCTTGTCGAAGGTCACCCCCCCCCCATTTGCCTTGATGATCTTTTCCAGCTGAACTTTAAAACCCAATAGAGTTTTGGCATTAACGGCCTCGGCGGGTAGGCGGTTCCATGAGGTAATAACCCTGTGGGAGAAAAAACATCTGTTCTCAGTCCTACATTGTGGCTTCTTGTTTGTGTTACACCTAACCCTTATGCCCGTGCCTTTCTCGTCTTTTCATTACGGACTATTCATACCCGTGCCACCTCTTGGGTGGTTTAATCTTCATCAATCAATCATCGTCTCTTCACAATCGACTTGATAATGGTCCAGGACGGATCGAAACGTCGTCGTCTTTTCATCTTCTAGTGTGTGGTTTGGTCTTCATCAACATAGTTTCCTACCTTGTGCTTCAGAGTCACACTGTATCTTGTACTACCCACTTCCCCAATATTAGTACTGAAGACATATATCCTTACCAGTGTAATCACCTCTGTCAATTTACATTGTAGTTATTTGATGATATAAAACCTTGCTACAATGTACCTTTTCATCTTACCTGATATGTTAGATTAAGGCCTGCCCGAAACTATGCGTGTTAGTGGCTTTGCAAGAATTTACAAATACCAATCTTATGTAATCTCACTAACCCATTGTACCTTCTTGTGAATATTATTATTATTATTATTATATTATTATTATTATTATTATTATTATTATTGATGTATATGACAAAAAAGGTTGGCCCCAAAATGAACCCCTGTGGTACCCCACTTAACACATTTATCCAATCAGATTCATTCCCATTTAGCACCACACTTTGTTTTAACCATTGTGTTATCCATTCTAGTATTTTTCATTTATTCCACGTGCCTGTAATTTCCTTGCCAGTCTTTCATGTGGTACCTTGTTTCTTTAATTATTTATTTATTTATTTATTTATTTATACAGTACAAGTTCTTACATTCTTGTAAATGTAAGAACATTTACGTTATGCTATGCGTTTCGGGCAGGTCCTTAATCCTAATTTTTTCCCCGGAATACAACCCGCTAAATCGTTTAACAACCATGGACCAATTCACTGCTGGGTGAACAGCGGCTACAGTTAAGGATTGGCGCCTGGTCAATCCTACCCAGCCAGGATACGAACCCAAGCCAAAGCGCTCGTGAAGAGCCGGACGAGTGCTTTACCACTGCGCCACGGGGACTGATAATCAAAACTTGTCCAAGGTAGGTACCTCAGTCGTGAGGTACTGTTCAGAGTCGTGAACAGTAACTGAATTATGTGTAGTTTTTATTGGCTTAATGTATTATGCATAGTTACAGAGGTACATATTGGGCCCAGTAACTGAACTCTAAAATATACAACTGTATTATAACTGAATTTTGTGGTTTAATATAATACAGTATATCCCTGTCTTCAAGCAGTTCAACGTTCTCTCACTCTAGTAGCTGTGGTGTGTGTCTGGCTCACGGAGAGTTACTAATCTATACTTAATAAAGGTTTTTTATATTATTATTTTGATATATTTGACATTATTCTTTTCACAGAATGGAAGAGAGAATACATACAAGCACATTGTATCTCACATGTTGAATGAATATATATTAGACTTGAGTTAAAGTAATAAATTCGCAATACGTAGGTGGAAGTATTGTGGTGAGTTTGGTGTGCAAGAGATGGCAGCACCGGGGCCGAGGCGGCCATTGCCTAGCCTCGCACCTGTGTTGTTATCTGTCATTCAGTGGTGAGCGGCCGCGGGTGGCAGGTGTGGGCTGATTCTCTCTGTCTTGAGCTAACTGTACTCTCGCTGTAATCCACTATGGACGCGACAGTGAGGCACAGGAAGAATAAGTCTTCCCCGAAAGGTGACCCAGCTAGCAAGGGCGATATAGAAGAAATAACGTCGGCGGACAATCACAACATGCTGAAGGAGAGCATTGAGAAACTGAAGCAAATGAACGAAAACATTAATAGGGATTCGGTAAGTACTTTGTGTTCAGTATTCTCTATCTCTCTCTTGTGAGTGTGACCTAGACCCCTCTCCCCGAAGTCCCCGCTCACCCCGGAGATGAACCCAGTTTTCACCGTAACCTACATAAGAGACGCGCAGGCCGGCACACGACTGGCTAAACCGGACAACCTGAATACAAACCTTAGATGCTTTCTTCAGAATCCTCTTGTCAATATCGCCTTCCACGTTTGACGCTAGAAGTTTTAATATATTCCACTACACTCACGGTTACAAGCTATCCTGTAATGGGATTTCAGATTGTAATGCTTTAAGTGGTAAGGTGTAGCATTCGAATAGCAGTTTAAAGCTGTACACTAACCGGGGGGGGGGGGGGAAGGGGACAACCTCGTTGTTCCGGAATCCAAGTGACCATATGTCAGGAGGAGCAAGGAGCACGGTGTGTCTGGGGGGAAATTGGTAATGACGCAGGCGTCGTGTTTTTCCAGGTGGAGTTGCCAAAGCATCCGTCGCTCCCAGCCATAGTGTATCTCTGGGTCGTACTTGGCCCCAGGGATGGTGGTGACGGGTATGGGGTAGACAAGGTGGTGGGAGTGCAGGTGTTTGGAATGCGTGAACGGGTCAGTCTTGGTGGAGGGTGGGGAATGTTTTGTGTACCGGTTGGTTGACCAGACGACCAACAGGGAGGTCTGGTCGGAGGTGGGCCGCTGGGCTGTTGATCCCCGGAGGAACCTCCACAAGGTAGGCGAGTAGGAAGAGAGAGTTGGGTACGGGCATGTCGGGCTTGGGAGGGGGGTTGTGTATTTTTGACCCCCCATGATTCCCCCACCCCTTGGTTTTTTTATTAAGCACTGAAACAGCTCTGAGTATCGCGGACAAAATTACAATTACTAACAAAAACTAAGGTAAACACGCCAAATATTTCACACGTAACTCCATGAAAATCGTATGGAGGACCTATATAAATGAAAATGTTTGTTAAAGCATTAACTGTCGGCGTGTCTGGGTAAGCCTATGTTCGTCCTTTACCCCAGACCATTACCCTTGCAAAGTTAGTCTATCTGCAAGGGTTTGGCCAACCACGTTGGACACACACACAGTATATATTGGGCTTTCACCCCTCCCCCTGTGTACAGAGATGACTACTCTTTGCAGGCTTAATGCCTTTCCCTCTGACAGCTCGTCTTGAGTATTATCCTAGTTTTCTTTGGAACACGACTTGCCAATGTTTAAAACCATTACCCAGTTACAACTCGATGAACAGGGGCGAACAGTTAATGATAGGTGCCCAAGTTATTCCCTACCCAGGGCCCGCATCTGATCCTACATCCTTCACGAGGATGTGCAAATATACTCTATTCCCTGAAATATACTTGCATAAATCTCGATAGTAAATATTAAACCTGGGTATATAGCTAATTTTTCTATTAAAATATTTAACATGCAAGACTGCTAGAGTATTGATAAAAACGTAGAACATTGCCTATTCTTTCCATCTTCGAAAAAATTGCCTCATCGGTAAAAATATACATATTTTATGTAGTTCAAAATTAGCCCAGTTGAGCTACGAGAATGAACAGAATGTGCAGACAATACGTGAAAAATTATAAGATTTAAGTCTTTAATTTGCTACGTTGAGGCTATTTTATTTACATAAAATATACAAAAACTGTCTTATAACAGCGAGTTGACTCTCGTGTGATGAAAGGCCACGTTAATATGATATAATGCTGTAGCTAATTAAATTATTAGTTTTAAGTTTGTTATTTACCTGGGTTAAGCCTGAAGAAATTTATTTTCATTACAATTTCAGACGTATTTTCCGGGTAGCAAAACTTTCATCATGACGCAGGTACCAAGTTGCTATTTTTTATATTCATCAGTTTGGCGAGATGACTTTCATCTGCCTTTAACCGTTAGAATATTAAACATTAATTATGTATGCTTTGTGACCGCTATGTAGACGGTTTGAATCTTGTTTTGTGATAGTGCTCACCTGGTGTTTAATGTAGTGTCTTTTTAACTAAATTTATTTGATTATTAGCTTCATGTGTGCTGGTCGGAAGAGATCACACCCCTATTTCCACAAATAATGGTTCCAATACAGCTTCTACGGATTAAATGGGCGCAAAATATGGAATGCTACCCCTCCCCTCCCCAAAGGTGTTGTATGATTGTACTTACAATCCATATAACAAAAGCCGAAATAGCCATACTATCAATCTAACCTGTAGGCAATCAAAGGCCTAACACGTGCTAAATTAGACCTAAAATTGCAAACGTACATCTTTCATCTTGCTTGGCCCCCAAGAAGGTTAGGGTTACCTGATGCCTTCTTTCTCGGATGCCTCTACAAAATGTGAGGCTGTTTACACGAGTCCTTTTTTTGCGCATGCCATCATCCGTTGTAGCTATTGTAATAATTTTTTGGAGGACAGGTTTAAAGATGCACCTAATATTTTTCCGGCATTAGTGAGGGAGTTTAATTTGCTGTTTGTCAAATACCATGTCGTAAGTGTATTAGGTGTTTAATTTAAAGAACTAGGTACAAGAGGGCGTGTTTTGTCTGTCCCACGTCACCCGACGGTTTGGTTGGGGTGGAGCCTAGCGTCTTCTGCAGGCGATGAGTCACAATAACGTGGCTAAAGTATGTTGACCAGACCACACACTAGGTGAAGGGACGACGACGTTTCGGTCCGTCCTGGACCATTCTCAAGTCGATTGTGAATGGTCCAGGACGGACCGAAACGTCGTCGTCCCTTCATCTTCTAGTGTGTGGTCTGGTCAACATTACTTACGCCTAGCGTCTTGTTTGACATGCTTCTAGCATTAACGATACACATCAGCCATGTACGCTCATACGTTGTATAGACATGCTATGACTTTTAAGAGTTGTTCAACTATATTTATATGTTAATATAAAGAGATTGCTGTAATAGAGCATATCAAAATCGGTGGGTGCGCGCACCTCTGCCTTCTATCCATACTTGTATGGGGAAACAAGGATGACTGGTGCGTTAGCTAGCTTGAGTGACTTGGCGAGTGACCATCTCCAGCCAGGCATACAAGGGGGCGGGCGGCTTCTTGCCTCACCACTTTCACCAACTCTTCTGACACACAGGCTGTAGTAACTGTCCTCGACCAGGCTTCATGTCTACAGGTTGCTGGCGAAATTCTATGATACACTTCGTAGTCTACTCGTTCACCTTGCACATTACTGAGAAACTGTTGATTGAATCACTTGTTCAGAAGTATGAAGTTTATTTAATGGGCAATAATATCAATACAAATAGTCGTGAACACCTCGACACGCGTGGTTAATTGGAAAAGGATATTTGTAATGAGTACTGTATGAGCAAGAGACTTCAGTCTTGTGTAATGCACCGCCTCCAGGTGACGCGGTAAGCGTGGAAGGTGACCTCCCCGAGGTTATACCACGTTGGCTGGTGTGGAGGATGATGGGGTGTTCCTCCAAGGCTCTTCCCCACCCCTCCCCCCCACACCTGTAAATACCTCCCTGTCCTACCTTCCTCCCGCCACGTTATCTACCTCTCTGGCTTCGCTCCTCTGCGCTCTCTAATTCTCCAGCCTCGCCCTGCATCTCTCTCCAATGGTGCATTTTGTTGGGGTTGCAAATGATGTACCATGTGATGGGTGGTGAGGATTGTATTCCAGCATTAGATGTTCAGCTAGTGTTGCTGGCCTTTACGTTGTGAGAAAGTATAACTTTTCACTTGTTAGCAAACCAGATTTTTCAATACAGTCGTTGGAGTTGGATTTACACCTTCCATTGGTTCCTTCATTCCAGGGGCCCTTTCTTCACAGTTCATATCACCGGGGTGGGGCGGCCCCTCCACCGCTGCCCATCACTCTGTGGGGGGGGGGGGCCTCTCTGCTGCACATCCCTCCGGAGGGGAGCCCCCTCTCCTCTGCTGCACATCCCTCCGGTGGGGGGCCCTCTCTCTCCTCTGCTGCACATCCCTCCGGTGGGGGGCCCTCTCTCTCCTCTTCTGCACATCCCTCCGGTGGGGGGCCCTCTCTCTCCTCTGCTGCACATCCCTCCGGTGGGGGGGCCCTCTCTCTCCTCTGCTGCACATCCCTCCGGTGGGGGGCCCTCTCTCCTCTGCTGCACATCCCTCCGGTGGGGGGCCCTCTCTCTCCTCTGCTGCACATCCCTCCGGAGGGGAGCCCTCTCTCCTCTGCTTCACATCCCTCCGGAGGGGAGCCCTCTCTCCTCTGCTGCACATCCCTCCGGAGGGGCGCCCTCCTCTGCTGCACATCCCTCCGGAGGAGCCCTCTCTCCTCTGCTGCACATCCCTCCGGAGGGGAGCCCTCTCTCCTCTGCTGCACATCCCTCCGGAGGGGAGCCCTCTCTCCTCTGCTGCACATCCCTCCGGAGGGGAGCCCTCTCTCCTCTGCTTCACATCCCTCCGGAGGGGAGCCCTCTCTCCTCTGCTGCACATCCCTCCGGAGGGGAGCCCTCTCTCCTCTGCTGCACATCCCTCCGGAGGGGAGCCCTCTCTCCTCTGCTGCACATCCCTCCGGAGGGGAGCCCTCTCTCCTCTGCTGCACATCCCTCCGGAGGGGAGCCCTCTCTCCTCTGCTGCACATCCCTCCGGAGGGGAGCCCTCTCTCTGCTGCACATCCCTCCGGAGGGGAGCCCTCTCTCCTCTGCTGCACATCCCTCCGGAGGGGAGCCCTCTCTCCTCTGCTGCACATCCCTCCGGAGGGGAGCCCTCTCTCCTCTGCTACACATCCCTCCGGAGGGGAGCCCTCTCTCCTCTGCTGCACATCCCTCCGGAGGGGAGCCCTCTCTCCTCTGCTGCACATCCCTCCGGAGAGGAGCCCCCTCTCCTCTGCTGCACATCCCTCCGGAGAGGAGCCCCCTCTCCTCTGCTGCACATCCCTCTGGAGGGGAGCCCTCTCCTCTGCTGCACATCCCTCTGGAGGGGAGCCCTCTCTCCTCTGCTGCACATCCCTCCGGAGGGGAGCCCTCTCTCCTCTGCTGCACA